AGGGAAACTGCAGCAAATCTGCACAGGGTCCTTGAACTTGGCAGGCTTCTGAGAGCCCTCTGTGAACAGGACGCTGAATATGAGCCAGCAGTGTGCCCTTGTTGCCAAGAAGGCTAATGGCATACTGGGCTGCATTGGTAGGAGTGCTGCCAACAGGTCAAGGGAAGTTATTCTTCCCCTCTATTCAGCACTGGGGAGGCCACATCTGGAGTCCTGTGTCCAGTTTTGGGCCCCCACTACAGAAAGGATGTGGACAAATTGGAGAGAGTCCAATAGAGGGCAACAAAAAGGGTTAGGGTGCTGAGGAACATGACTTGTAAGGAGAACCTGAAGGAGCTGGGTTTATTTAGTCTGCAGATGAGAAGACCCAGGGGGGATTGAATAGCAGCTGCAGGGGGGTTGCAAAGAGGATGGAGCTGGACTGGTCTCAGTGGGGGCAGATGACAGAAGGAGCAATGGGCTCAAGTTGCAGCCAGGGAAGTTCAGGTTAGATATTAGGAAAACTTTCTCACTAGGAGGGTAGTAAAGCACTGGAACAGGTTACCCAGAGAGGTGGTGGACTCTCCATCCTAGGAGGTTTTTAAGACCCAGCTAGACAAAGCTTTGACTGGGATGATTTAATTGGGGCTGGTCCTGCTCTGAGCAAAGGGTTGGACTAGATGTGACCTCCTGAGGTCCCTTCCAACCCTAATTTTCTATGATTTTATGACACTGGGATTGTTACCCACACTGCAGACAGCAACCTAATTCCATGATCGCTCCATTTAGGCCAGGACCCTGAGCGGCTCATCGAAGCAGTGAGAAATATAAGTTCCCCTCTATGCCCAGGGGCCTCTTTGAGGAATCTCCTTCTAGTCATTATAAGTCCTATTGCTTCTCTGCTGCCAGGGATACAACATCTCCCAGCACTACATCTGCCCCACGCCAGAGCAAACTTTCCACCTCAGGGCCTTGCAAGAGTTTTGGCAACAACAGAAACTTCCATAGCCCCAGGCCCAAACCTACACAGTCATGGTACCTAAGACTACTCAGCCTCTGCCGTAACACAGAATATCTTGCAGATCTCTAATCATGCCAACTTCCCTGTGAGCTACTGTAGGCATAGTGACAGGTTGGGAAACTGTGGCACAAAGGGATGAAATGACCTTCTCAAGGTTTGTTAGGGCATCAGAGAGAGAGCCGGGATCCTGCCACACCATCCTGAGCTTCAGTTCAGGCTGTTGCCTTTACGATGAAGCATCCTCCACCCCATCAGTACCAGGTATGACCTGACATAGCCTTAAACCCACCTCCTCCCACTCTTTACCTACTGGTCCTTCTGGGATCCAAGCCTGCAGCAGGCAACAATTGTAATCACCAACTGTGCAAGAGATGCACCAAGATGTGTGGCCGCCGAAAAGGCGACAAAAAACCTAGGTGCTCCCAGCCTCCTTTCCACAAGGTGCAAATTGATGTAATGAATGGGCTGAGTGGGGAGTTGCAGGTTTGTCAGAAATAAGCCATTTCCTTTACAAATCCTATGCAGAGGATTACAAGCTTGCTGGAGGCAAAGGTTTTGATGGAGTGGTCCTTTCCCAGCGACATTACAGCTTCTTCCACAAAGAGCATTTTCTGGTGCATTTAATCCAGTTCACCAAAAAGGTCTGACCAATAATTCAAGTAAGGGGGGGGGTCCTCCCTCTTTTTAATGTTGTGCCTGTTAAAACCCCAGCAAATTCCAGCCAGATGTGGCGTTAGCTCGGTGACAGAATGAACCTGTCAGCTGCACGCATTTCACATGCACCCTCCCGTGCGCGCATGCACTCACACACCGACACACGCGCGCACGCAAATGCACTTGATGGATGAGATGATTTGAAGCTTTTGACAACAGCATTTTGTTGTGGGGAAAAATGATTTTTTTAGCGAGTTGCAGATAAATGAGCAGAGTTTACTGGAGTGCGGGGAATGCGGCAGGCGTTGGAAAGTCAATGATTTGTGAGGTGCATGGCAAATGCGAGAGCCCATTTTTAAAATTAAGCTAGAGAGGCACAACGCAAATTTGTTCTTTACGTTCCTCACTATTAGTCAAAAAAGCGTTACTTTAAAATAGGGAGGGAGACGCACACGCACACGGGGAGAAGGGATGGGGGGAAGAAGAGGAAAAAGGCCAAGAGAGAAAAGCAGGAGGCAGCCTAGTCTAGTGAACAGGGCATAAGGCATGGAGTTAAGAAACTTGGGCCCTACTCCCAGCATTGGCACTGATGCACCGGGTGACCTGGGGCAAATCCCTTCATCTCCCTGCATCCCTGTTCCTCTTCCCTCTGTTCTTCATTATGTCTTGTATTTTCTCCCCTGATGCATGCAAGGAGCACCTGTAAAAACCCTCCTTAAAACCCCTTGGGTGTAGTGCCTGCAGAAATCATGACAGCTGCTATATTAATTCCTCTGTTAGGCTGACCAGTATTGTCTCACTGTCTCCTGGATCTCAGATATTTTCATAAGGCAGACCACAACGAGATATGCCACGTGGCTTCCTTCCCTTCCCACTCCCGATCCCATAGATGATCTCCTCTTCCATGCCATCCACAATCACCTCTCCTCCCCTTCTCCGACTTCCTCCACAGCAATCTGCAGCTGTTTTTCCCCTCTATTTTTCCATTGTTTCTTGCCTGCTACATAGGCTGTAAGCATTTTGGGGCAGGGGCTCTCTCTTTGTTCTGCATTTGCACAGCACCTAGCACCGGGGAGTCCTGGCCCAACTGAATGAATGCATTGAGAGCTCCAGTCCAGCATCACAACAGCAGGACCATCCTTTGCACAACTGTCCCGGCACCTCTGTGATGGTCTAATTAGAAGTTATTTTGCATTATAAAAGCATTCACTCATTTGTTCCTCCATTGCAAGCTTCCCATGATGGGGCAAATATATCAATGCACATGGCAAAAGCAAGCTCCTTCTTTCATTAAGGACACCTATTCTCAGGTGGAACAGGTCTGGGCGCTCTCCATCACAGACCAAGACAGCCGTGTAATGGTCCCCTTGATTCACACTAATTGGCCCTCATGTTGACAGCCTCAGCAGAGAGACCAAGGATGGGTCAGAGCTCAAAGCGACTCTCCCTGGCCACTCAGGTGTTATCTGCAGGGTGGATCGTTGAAGTCACCTGGACGGTCCCTCTGCTTCAACCCTTTCCAGGAGCAGAGCCAGGTGGAGTGCACACCTCCCCTCTTTGCTCAGAGGGACCGTAATTGGCTTGGTTGGATGAGCAAAGCTGTTCAAAACCGGGATGGAAATGACTGCAGAAGGCTGCATTGGGTCCTGCCTAATTAGCATGCAGCACCACAGCCAGAGCAGGAAAGCTAGTGGAGAGCTTGAGCATCCCCACTGCTAAACAGCACATACAGCAGCGAAGCATATTTCTTGGAGGGAACGGGTTTCTGTGCGGGCAATGCAATGTCCCGTGTGGCCGCTTCTCTCCTCTACTGCTCTCTCCGGCCACCTTCCTGACATACCTGACCTCCCCTAGCTGGGAAAGGGAGCGTCTCTGGAGGTCTCAGCAATGCCGTCCTCCTCTGGAGGGTCCCGCCAAACCACCCGGCTCTGCAAGAGTTGGACTTAAGTCTGTTTTTCTTCCTTTTCTTTGAAGAGCAGCTGCTTGGGTAGAGCCGAATGGAAACTAGCAGCCATATGCTTTGTGCCCTCTAGGACCAAGCAAATGTGCCGGGGTCTCAGGGATAATGAGCACAAGGGTCAAGGTGGGCATGGGGGTGAGTGTTGATGGGGGAAGAAATCATTTGTTATACTAAAGAGAGAGAGAGGCAGAAAGAGAAGAACATGAGCAAACACAAGTAAAATAAATATTCCCAAAGCAAAGGAAACAGAGGCATCAAGTCCCTGTCACTTCAATGCCAGGCCAAAAATAAAACATGAAATCAACTTAAGACATTTTCTGGTCTGTTAAATCACCTGAGGAAAAGCATTTTGCCTGGAAATGAGCCTGTATTAGTGATCAGTGTTCGCTAACAAAACAGACTGACACCAAATGAAATTAATAACAGAATGGGAAATGGGTAATAAAGAGAGGCCCAGAAGTTGGATTTTCACAACCTAATTATTCATTGTCACTAATGGGCTCAGACATCCCCATTGCAAATGCCGCGATTGGAGACAAGTGCGCTGACGGGTTTGCAAGTTGTAAAGAGATGACGATGATATTTTGCAGTTCTCCGGTGCCCCCATCCAGGGATCTTACACAGCTTTACACACATTGGTGGCTGGATCCCAACAATCCCTCTGCGAGGTGGGCAATAGTTAACATGAGACTGCCCCATCTGCGAGTGAGCAGCATGGTTCAGCTCCAGGTGTGAACGGGACTAATATGTCTCTGCCTTTCAAGATCTCGGATGAAGACCCTTGCTTTAAGGGGCCCAAGGGAGCTTCAGACTGTATGGCCCACTGAATCTCAGATATTTTCAGAAGGCAGACCACAACAAGCTATGCCACGTGGCTTCCTTCCCTTCCCACTCCCAATCCCATAGATGATCTCCTCTTCCATGTCATCCACAATCACCTCTCCTCCCCTTCTCCGACTTCCTCCACAGCAATCTGCACCTGGTTTTTTCCACCCTTTGCAGCTCCTATCATGCCCTGCCCTTTGAACAGACACCTCCATGGAAAAGCAATATCAAGAAAAAGTGCTCCGTATATGACTTATTTTGAAGCTGGTCTGCATTTGGGAATAGGGAAGAGGAACCTGCTCCATGCAACCAGCCAGCTCTCCAAGCATTGCCATCCCACCACATTTTGAAACTGTTGGTGGCCCATTCCTTTCTTGGCTTGTCTGATGAGATTGTCCACCGGGCAACCCCAGGATCTGAACTGATGGTCACCAACTCATTTCATGCAGGCTACCGATTAGCTGCCTCAGGGGCAATGCCTTGCATACCCCAAAACAAGGCAGATTATTTGGACTGTGGCCTGGTTGTACAGCAGGTTTGATTCTGCACGGAGACTATTTGTATAGCAGGTTTGATTCTGCATGGAGAATTTTGCCTTCGGCTCCTTGCAACGAAGACTGAGGAAAACAGAAGTGGAGTCATTTTTGAAAATGCTAGGTGATGCCTGCAGTTATATCACCTTCTGCTGTGGTCCTTTGAGTTTTCTCAAGCTACACAGCAGCAGCCCAACTCGATATGTAGGTCACAGCCTGCCAAGTAACACAGGCAGTGTGCGGCTGCAAAAGATGCTGCTGGTGCTTCACGAGGCCGCATTGCCCCTGCCTGGTGTTTTGGGAGCAATATTGAGATGGCATTTCAGACAGGAGGTGAAATGACAAGGCCTCCCTTATCTCCTGTGTCAATAGATCTATTGGCAGAGTTTTCAGGACCAGAGGTATTAACTCTGCTGTCCTGGCCAGTTTCCAATTTGTGGCATTATGCTCTTCCACCTAAATTCCCTGTGTATCACTCATGGCTGTAGTAATCTTCTACCCTCCCTGTACTAGGTTGCCATGTGCTATCAGGCAGCTGAGGTGCTGCATCCCAGAGGTGTGGAGGCCTTATCTGAGCTCCTTTGCATGGTGTATCCCTTATCTACCACAGGCTTAATAAAAGTCAGAGCTCAGTGCTGCTCAGGTTTAAATCAAGAGTAAAATTCACTCCAACTTCAGTGGGATCTAGACTGGGGTCTTACTCCGTGAAGGCGTCATAGACTTTCAGTCCATAAGACACCATCAGATCATCTTGTCTGAACTCTTCTATAATCACACACGCTTACATTTTATTATGTCACCCCTATAGGGAGTCCAGTAACTTCAGGGAGGCTTTTCTGTCCTCCGGAGATTGCTCTGTTGGGTGCTCTGGGCAGATCTGGAGACATAAAAGCCCTTGCAAGGACAGGAAACTAACTGGATAAGATCTGCCCGGGGGATCCCAAGAAGTGATCCAAACTCCATGCTGGCAATTGAAAGGCTCCAGGTCCCTGCTAGCCTGACCTCAGGGACACTTCCAGTCTCGGCCCAGATCTGATCCATTTGATCCTATGCAAGTGAAAACCCACCAGCCAGGCCCCGGAGAGGAGGGCTCAGTACCACCACCCAGCACCGATCAGTACCCTGGTACCAGCTGCGTACCCAAGAAAGTGCCTCCCATCCAACCACCACCCTGCTCCCCACCAAAATCCAGCTGGCCAGCTGTGTAGCTCTACAGTAAAAGGCTTTCCCCGACTCCTGCTACTACCTAAAGCCCTAAGGCCTGAGCTTTTATTACAATCACTGCCTTAAAGCAGACTGCAAGTGGTAGGAGTGTGCTGAATGCGCCCAGAGGTTTTAGGATAGAAGAGTCATTAGAAAGTCAAGTATTGGCTGGTAAATATGTAAGGGGAAAATCCCAATGTTTTTCCCTTCCATGCAGTTAACATACTTTTGTGCTACAGGAAAAGGAGATGAGTGTTTTATTGAAACTATTTATGGGCTAGACCAATGCATTCCTCACCTTGTATTTGAGTTTTAAAGCACACAGGGAATCCTTATGGGAAGAAAGAAACATCTGGAAAATGGCCGTCAGTTTTGAATCCAGGTACCTGCAAAGGTAGGAGGGAGGAAAAGTGGGTCGCTGGAACGAGGAAGAGGAGCAAAGGAGAAAGGAGAGAGAAGTAGACAAAATGGATTATCTCTGCATCACCTATTCCTACGCTTTAAAATGCTTTCAAGTCCTTTCACTATAGACATATCCTTGACCCTTATTTTAAGGCCAGGCTGATGGGATGGGAGCACAAAGGGAATGCGAGGCCTTTGAGGCAAATCTATCACCTACTGGTGTCCGAGCGAGTCCTTCCATCAGGACATGTGTCACTTCCAGCTGCAACTTTTGCAGGGCATTGGGATTAAAGCCCTATTTGTGTGGAAAATGGTATGGGATATTGGAGAAACCCAAGCAGCTAACAGTTCAGCTTTATGTCTCTTCATTAAACACATTTCACTATCAATCAGGTGTGTTTTAGCTAATCAAAACAGGTGAGATTTGCCAGACAAAGAAGCCGGTATGAAGCCTGTGCTCTAGTTAAGTCCTAGTATAGCACAGGCCTTATGCTGGGATATGTGCACAGCTAATCTCCACCCAATTGGGCCCTGCTTTCAAACTCACATATCTGGGCCAAAGCAAATAGGTTTCTAATAGGTCACGGACACAATTCAGCCTCATCTAGATGCTAAGGACCTGATGCTTTGTGACTGAGATAACATAAGCTTTGGCATAGTCTTGAGCACCCAAATGTATGACTTGGGTGCCCTCTACTCAGTACCCAAGTCTGGGAAAGCAGAACAGAATTAAGGTATACCATCTTTCCAGCTCTGTGCTATACGGCGCATATTCATACATGTTTTGACTGCCTCCAATACAGCTGAAGCCAGCCATCAAATTTAATTTTGATTGATCTGAGTTATGAATTTACTTGATAGCACAGGTGTTGGCTATAGGGATCTAAAATGATCTCTGACCCACGGTAATAAACTAATAGAGTTTGCATTCCCACTTTAGAGGGGGAAGAAAAAGCCAGAAATTCATAAATATATTCATGCCTCCTATCCACTCCAATTGATTAGACACCTCCAGGTTTATTAAAAGAGAGCGAGAAGGAATTCTTTGAGTTCCTAGTAAGTAAATCATTCATTAATAAAGAATACTTCATTGTGGATAGAAACACCTCTCTGTTTGAGTCCCTACAATGCAGAAGCATTATCAACTGCCTGGCACAGAACTTTTGAAAGGTCAGGATTAGCATTAATCATTTTTTTTTTAGGATGTCGATAAAGTGTATTTTCATTGCTAGCAAAAAAAGGGGGGATAAAGAAAAAAAAACAACCAAGACAGCATTTTAAATATTCCCATCACATTATTCAAAGCAAGAGAATTTCAAACTGATTTAGAAACAGAGGACATGACTTTCCAATGACGGGTGATCATGTAACATTGGTATTTAGTATTTGTATTCCAATAGTCCTTAGAAGTATCAACCCAGTAAGTACTATATGCTCATACTGCAATAAGAAGTGCCTTGCCTGCAAAGCTTACAGTCCAAAGGACAAAGGGAACAGGAGCAAAAAGGTGAAGGATCCTGCCCAAAGGTCATGGAGTAGTTTGGTTGGAGAGATGAGGGTACAACCCAGTTTTTGCATCTCAGCCCAGTGCCCCTGAACCATGTGCATTTGAATGAAAAAAACTGATGCGTAACCCCACAGTATCATATTTTTCACACTATTTATACTTAATGATTTTAATCACATTCAATTGCTACCACATTCTTCTATGGTAGCCTTGCTCCACACCACACCAAAGGGGCGGTCAGAGGCCACACAGGGCAGGCTGAAAGATCGGGCAGAACTTCATCATGGTACAGAAGACCACAGACCATCATAGACACAAGGTCATTATTAAAGGAGACAGCTATATCCATAGACATCAACCAACTGCCTTCCACGCAGCTTGAGTTCCAGCTTCTTCTACCTTGTTCACCAAAGACCACCTCCTGTTTGGGACAATATACAGCAGACAGAGACATCTAGTGACTAAAGAATATACTGCAAAGAAATACTATTGGGATCACAAGTGGTGAATTTGTCCCTGCAAAGACAGCCAGTGCAAAGCTTGTGATCAATTAAAGGTCTGCTCAGGATTGCTGAGTTTTTGGCACCCTGGGAAGAATCAGACAGCATCAGAAAGAAAAAGCAAGCATAGGGGAGACAAAGCCCTGAAAAGGGTACAGAGAGAGCACAGGAGGAGGCTGAGCAGTATCACTACAGCCTCAGACCCAAGTCAGCACATAGCAGAGCTCTTCACAACCCAGGCTGATTCCCCAGGACTTCCCCCGCCCGTAGCAAATGTCCAGCCTTGCCATTCTGCAATCAGCCCTACAAACAGTTACTGAATTTCTGCAGCTCCTAATATTTTGCTGCCCGAGGCAGAAGACCATTCTGCCTGTGAGTAACACTGTTCCTGTGCAACCCAAACATATTTATAGCTGCTGCAGAGCTGTAAGGGTACAATAGGCTCGGGGCAAGGTCACAGCCTCTGGCTGCGCTCACTGCTAGCCTGCCATAGGAATTAGAGAGGCATAGCAGTGAGAGGGGAGATGTACCTGGTAGATCATCTAATCCATGCATCGTGACCAATACAAACCATGCATTTGCCAGGGAGTTTTCCATTCTGGTCCTTGGTGTCCCAAGAAAATGGGGAATTTGCCACTGCAAATGCAGGAATAGTCAGACAGGTGCCAAGATGGGAAGCTCAGTGACATGCAAAGAGTTTCTCAGCAGTTGACCATCCCATGACCACCAGGAGCAGGAGAGCAATGTTGTAAATTGGCTGCAGCTGCAAACTCCTCAGGTGGTTGCAACCACATGGTTGGCAGTTGATTTATTCTGACCTTGAGTTTGCATTTGGTGGGGGGTGGAAAAAATTAAAAAGAAAAAACATAGCTGCTGAGAAAAGAAATTTCAACTGCCCTGCAATAGGGACTTCATTTCATTTGGTGAGTCTGATCGCTGGCCAGTCAGGATGTTTCCTCCAGCTAGTCTGGATGTACAGTGCATTTGCACCAGAAGTTGTTGTAAAGAGATATAACCTGTGGGCAGTGAGAGCAATAAGTAAACGGTCAGATCCTCAGGGCAGGTCTCTTTTCCCAGGTGTTTGTACAGAGCATTGCTAGTCAAGTTCAGAACCTGACTGGGTACCTAAGAGCTGCTGTGATATACTTATTTAACGATTAGGTAGCTAGAAGGATAGTTCAGGATGAAATAGCAGTTTACGCTGACATGTTCAGGCACACAAATCTGCTCGTCTCTCACCTCTGCTCAGAGAACCCAGCTAAGTCCACCCCGTCCTCCTATCGGAAAGAGCATATCATCTCGTTAGCAGGCAGAACCACAAGACACGTTCAAAAGCTCATACAACAGAGACAATAGACAATATGGGTTTTTTTTATTTTATTTTAATGCTAACTTACTCAGGGAATATGATAACCAGATGCTTTAATGCTGGATAAATGACTTCTTCCTGCAAGAACCGCTGTAAAAAAGGCTAGAGGGGGAAAAAAACCCCCATAGCACGGCTTGTTCAGTGCTACTTCAAGGAACCTTGGCATTCTGGGTAATGCCTTTCAGAGAAGGAGAGCGGACATGGGGGAAACCGCCCCCAGTCTATCTGTTCTGATGAGCAATGGGAGATTCAGAAGCAGCAACCGAGATCCCCATGAGATGATAATATACACAACCATTACACCTCAGAAGGGGCCTGTGGCTGAGCAAATGTTAAAGTATATATAGTATAGCAGGATGTGCCTGTATATGTTCATACAAAATGTTACCTGCCGCCATGGGGCTTATTTTCAAAGGAGATGAGACCGATCTATGGTGGGAGGTATGGCAGCAGGAGGCCGTGTCTAGATCTGAATGGCTGATGGGCAGCTTGGGACAATGCATAGAGCGTGTGGCTTGGCTATCCATTTCTTTTTCAAAAGGAGTGGGATTGTTACCTGGAATATTGCAGCCAGCTCTCCCACAATCGTTTCCTCTCCCAAAGACGTTGTGACATGCCAGGCATGCATCAGGGACGTAGGTTTTTACCTATGGCTCAGTGTGTACATGTAAAATGTCCCCTACCGTGTTCGCTCAGCTGAAGATGAGAGTCTTTATGACTACCAGTTCACCGACGTCTTTCTTAGCTCACAAGGCTAGTGGTTTCTTTCTGAAAGTCCTAGGTCTGATCTTTGATGAAGACGAAGATGAATCGCGCTGCAGAAGCCAAGAGTTCCCCTGAGACTCCAAGGGCTCTGGTCCTCGGGCACTTGGCATCCTTCATAGCAGGGTCCAAGACCTCCCCAAGGCTTGATTTACAGGGAATATAAGCCTGCTACAAGTTGAATTCAAGGGATAAACCCAGATCCACAAAGTTATTTTGGTGCCAAAGTCCCACTGGAATCAACAGAGTAGGCATTAAATCAATGGGAGTTTGGAGCCTAAATACCTTTGAGGAGCTTGGCCCTTCAGTTCAAGCGGCAGTAGATCATTCTCTTAGCTTTTGAGCTGCCAGTAATAGCCAAGGTTGTGTTTTTTACACAGGCCATAACCATATAGGCCTCATTCTTTGAAAGGAATTTAATGGGTATAAGAAAGCAATCCCACCTTGGGACAGAAAAATGCTTGATAACCTAATAGGCCGTGCTGATGGGTAACTTCTGTGCTGCTATTCTGCAAAAGCCTTAGTCAATTGACTGATTTATTTGGTTTTTAGGTGTACAGAAAAGAAAAGAAAATGCTGTTCTTTATCATGGAAGTGGCGTGGGTACTTGGACTATAAACATTACACTGTTCAAGCAATAGGGGCGTTTTTTTAAAAATGTCCTTTGGTGTCTAGACCAAAAGCAATAAACGATCTGCTGTCCCATGCACCTCATCATAATGGCATTAATCAGGGGAGAACTTGTCACTGGAGTTGAAAAATGGATCTTTCACCTTTTAAAAAATAATTTGATAACTTTATTATCCCACGAGAAAGGGAAATGATGGAGCGGAGGCACATACTAATGGGTTGTTGAATGCGCTTTGATTTTTTTATGGCCATTGGAATCGGTCAGGAGTTGTGTATTATCTCGTTATAATTGTCCCAGGAGAGGGACTTCGATAATTTTTATTACCAAAGGGAATGAAAATGTATGTTTTATTTGGTAATTTCAGGGTAATGGCTGTGGCTGTGTAACAACATCCACAGGAAGCCGAACTCTGGCCTGGCGTCCGGCTCTTTCATTCAAGGAGGCAAAAGGCACGGCGTGCTGGAAACAGCAGAGAGAGCGCAGCTAGACCACATTGGAGGCAGGGTGTATAAATCCCTTCATTTTTATATTTAGCATTGGGGACGGTGAGCAAGCCAGCAGGGATGTCACAGGCAGTGGCAGCAGGGAGGACTTTCCTAACCGTGCCTGCAGCATTATCCTCATGCTTTGCTGGACCTGCCCAGCTGCAGGGGCTCAGTCCTGATCATTAGGGCTAGGGACAGAAATGACACATAAACCAGTATAAGTGATCAGAAACCCACTCAAATCTGCAACACAACAGAAGCTCAGCGTGCGTAAGCTGCGTTCAAAATGGTGGAAACTGGGCTAAAATAAACCTGGGTGGATGTAGTATCAGATTAACTGGTTTAGATTCAATTGGTTTATTGAACGTCTGTTCCAGTTCCCTTCCAGATTCAAGTTAACTCTCAGCTCTCCAATATCCCAGGATGCTTTGCACCCCTCTCCTTTCAGGGTGGGCAGGCTAGCTTTGCCCCAAGCTGTCTGCTCCAGCTGAGCAGGGAGGAGTACTCTAGCACCCCCTGGCTTCTGGCCTGGGCTACTGCAGGCATGCATTTCCAGAATCAAAACTGAATGTCTGTTCACCTGCTTATTGGTTCAATCTACGAAGCATAGATTAACTTGCAAAGATTGAATCGATTCAACTTTAGGCTTTTTGACTGTCTGTAGTTAACCTATGGGCCCCCATAAGCCTGGCTCAAGTTACTTGCAAGACAGCTTTGTGCTGGCAGGCACTTTAAAAGCCCCTGCTGTGGGTATTACTACAAGCAGAAGCAGTTCTGACTACCCACATGCCTTGTGGTTTACCCCAGCTAACTAACGGAGCCTCCTTCTGCTCCTGCCGGTCCCTCAGCCTGACACAGTGCCACTCGGACTGTCTGCACTCCTTGTATTAGCTTTGACACAGCTTGGCATGTTATCACATGGGCTCCTCGGCACCACAGCCTGACATGGCATCCTACCATCTTCTCTGTGATCCCTGCACCGCAGCATTACACAGGTTCCTCAGCACCACAGTGTGACCTGGCCCCACAGCCTGACATAGGGTCACACAGGCCCCTCTGCTGTGGTCCTGGGCTGGTGTGTGCTGCAGCCCAGCACAGGCCCCTCGCTCTGGCCTGTACATCAGCCCAATGTACCAACACATGGATGCCCTGCTTCAGCCTTTACTCCAGCCTGATGTGGTTATATAGCCTGTCTGTACCCCCTAAGCCAGCTCACTGATGGGCCTGTCTGCTCTGCCTTCTCTCAGGGTCCCCCATGGCATCAGAAGTCACTGGATCCGCCTTCCTGAGATGAGAGAAAACAAAGGGACATCATGATAAGTGTAACTGTGCTGTGAGGAAGGAATGGCCTGTCCTTTTACCCCAAATACTTGAGCAGCCACCGGGGCAGGCCATGCTACGGGGGCTACAGCGAGGAAAAAAGAGTTGCTAAAGCTCTAAAAAGGTTTAGGTGCTAGCTCCACCGCATAGGGCACATCTACACATGCAATGAATTCGCAGCAATAAACTCTGGCATCTATTGCTCCCAGGACCACAGCATGTTGAGCCAGGCTGGAGCAGCCCTGGCTGGCAGAGAGCCTGGGGGTCAGCCTGCCAGCCCGGGGCTGCTCCAGCCCAGCTCAACGTGCTGTAGTGGGGCTAGCTGGGGCGCCAGGATGCTCCAGTGTGGAGCTAGCTAGCAGGCAACCTCCACATAGATGTACCCTTGTGCCCGAGCCAACCGTGTTGGCATCTACATGTGCATTGCTGCAGAGTAAAAAACTCCACAGCAGGATAATACTATCCTGTACTAGTACTCTTTACAAGTACTATTTACAAGTACTATGCTGCTGCGGAGTTTATTAGTTTCCTGTGGCCTAATAGGGCCACATGTGTAGGCACCGAGACGTTTACTGCGGAGTAAATTAGTCAACTCTGCAGTAAACGTCTCATGTAGACGCACCCATAGAGGAGGCAAAGGAAGGGCAAAGGGAAACAAGCTTCTGTAAGAGAAATCTGCCCAGAGGAGCTGGGCTGTGGGCCATAGGTTGTCTAGCTGCTGCAGGGAGGCGCGTGGAACCAGGAAGCAGCGAAAGAATAAATTTGAGCTGGGGATTAGAAGCGGATTTGTAACCCTCGGAGGAGAGGGGATCTGGAGCAGCCGTCCAATCAGAGCCGAGGGAGTTGGGCACTTTATTTGTTTCAGTTTTGGAGCTTGATCAGTTTATGAAAGGGATTATATAATGCCACGCTTGCAATAGCAGGGTGGAAGCGATATCGCAAGAAGAGTGATAACACACACAAGAAGGGGGGGATTAATTCCCAGACCTGCATGCTTGAAGTCACTGAGTGAGGCCTAACAAGCTGCAATGGCTGGTGGTAGGGCATATCCCTATGGTGGGCTGGGTATTAGTGAGCTCCGGCCTCATCCAGTAAGTAAATGCTTGCACAAATGACACAACAGTAATTGTCCAAAGGAAA